AGTGTATCCATAGGCCTGTGAAATGGTCACTTTGTTCCACCCTTGGCGCAGGGAATAACAGAAGCTCTGCTCTTTTCCTATTTTTTAATGGTCATTTGACCAATTGTCTTTCACCAATTAGTCAGGTGACTGATCATGGCAGGGCATTCCAACAGCTTTCTTGGAAATGTGGTTCTGGCGAGATCTGCCATTCTGATTCCACCTATTGCCATCTTAGAATATTTAAAGCTTACATTTATAACAAGATGAGAGATACTGATTTTGAGGAAGCTACATCTGAAAACAATTTAGACCTTGTAATTACAAGTTTACAGTGTGTGTATCTTGAATGGACTAACATTCATTGTATCAATACAGACACTAGATCAGGGCTACAGAACCCTGGATCCAGAAAGCTAATATTCAGCAGGTCTTAAAGACCACACTCAAAGCATCCAGAGCATGTAAAGGCTTTTTAAGTTAAATAATAATTTCACTTTTTGACGGATACAGTGATTTGTTAAATAAGGAAGTTTAGAGATCATCAGAAATGGAAACACCAACATCCTCTTTAATGTCTGTTAAAGGTCAAAGCTGCCAATCCGTGACATAACTGAATCAAATGATTAACTCAAACTTTGTATGTTCCATGCCTTTACAAAATTCTGAAAAAAGAGGTACAGTATCTGCTGGATTGTGGCTCTTCCGGACCTGGGTTGGTCATATCTGGATAAGCTGTAAGTCAACAGATCTCCCAGCTGGAGAAGTGTGACTGCTTGCTTTTGCATTGGTCAGATATTGGCAGGGTTTCAAGCAGTGTATTTTGACCTTGTGTGCAGGTTTCAAACATGTAAGAGGCAGAAACCCGTTCAAAATCAAACAATAAATAGAAACTGTTTCCTGTTTAAAGTAGGTGGGTTTCACTGGTTATTCTCCAGGGGAATCTCTCATGTGTGTAACACAGCCAGGCACGTAGACAGCAATTCTGAAACAAGTTGGTAGCTGTTTGCTGATTAAGTTTATGCTCATTGTAGGTTGTTCAGGTCAGAATTAATCAATGATTAATCATTACTTTTGTTATTCAGCTCATTCCATTGTGTCTGTCAAGAGTGATTATTTGAAATATTCAATCCAATGTATGCACAGGCCTAAATATTTAGATTATTGAGAAATGTGTTATTAACATTTGTTATGAATGATCAACAGGGGACATACTGTGAAAGTCAAAGGCTGATAGAGTATGGGGCCACTGATGGAAGCAATACAATGTGTATATCTGAGATATATGCAATTAAGATGGTATACGCTGATACTGTTAACAGTGTCTGTAAGAACACATTCTTTTTGTTCTACAATTATTTACTGCAGTAATGAGAAAAAGAATACTGGGGTTTTAATGGGAACAATATAATGATAGGTGCACTGAATGCACACTGGTTCAAGTTCGCTGCTCATGATGGCAAAGGAAGAGGTAATATTTTTCTGCTCCTTTGCAGTTCTTATGCTCATTGGAGATATTGTACAGTAGCATTTCTTCACAATACCGTTCGAGTATGGATGACAGGTTTTGTGAACGGATTCTGAAAAGGGCAACAGAAAATACTATTTCTATTTAATAGAGAACATCAGACTAAGACAAAAAGAAATCTGGGACTGCTGCAGGTATTTGTAAAGCAAAGTAAAAGCTATTAGCTCACATCCAGACATCACTGGTACAAGGCTGGACCCACGTGATTAGCTGTCTGTAATCGCCTAATGGGGTTGAGTGGGAGTAGAGCAGGGGTTAGGATTCCTGCCTCATGTTGCTGGGGCCCTGCATTCAATTCCTAGGGTCATTCCTATCAGTGGTAGTTTGTATGATTTTTCCATGCTAGTGTTGGTTTCTCCAGTTTGCTCCAGTTTCCTCCCATGTTCCGAAACCTTACTGATACTGACTGGCTTCTGGAAAAATTGACCCTGACATGATTGTGTGCATGTTGCTTGTTGGTATACGCTCTTGTTTGCCCGAGACCCTGTACTGAAAGGAGCAGTTAGTAAATGGATGGATGGATATCTGGCTTCACATTGGTTAAATTATCTCCTATTGCAGTTCAGTTATTGCAGTTAATTTGTATCTACAGTATTTATGCAGCCAAGCACTGTGCTAAATAAATGTTAATATCTCACATGAGAGTACAATAAGAGTTACCTGCCTGCAATTTAAACCCACAACCTTCCTGATATGAGTTTAGATATACATTAGACTCCAATCTATGGGAAAGGCCTACTGCTCCACACCACTGCTTCCAATATGAAGACCTACACTGAATTTTTGTAAAAACATGTGAATCGGTATGTCTTTTAGAGATTTAAATTAGTTGTAATATTAATTAATATTGCTATTAATTATGCCTTATGCAGTCTACAGTGTTGGCCTACAATGTTTTACAGGTTTTAAACAATATGTACTTTGTACATTATACATTTTGTACATTTACAAATACAAAATATACATTTTATACAATATACATATGCAAAATGTACATTTGATCTTGAAGGCAGCACACAGTCAAGAAGCATTTTTTTACTTGACAGGAAATTAATCATCATATCGTTGTGAAAATCAACACTGCGGGTAGGTGACCTTAGAATGTAGACTATTCTAATTTCCTGTTATGGTACTGTATGTTTTTTTTTAGAAATAAACGCTAAGTGTGATTAATTAGTTCACCAACTTAAGACTTTGAGACATACTATGGCAAATCCCCCTTAACCATTAACGTGGTTCTTCAGGACCTATTAGACATGATCCTCAAGATTTATGGGGTGATATGGGACCGAGATTGAGGCTGGATCAATGGCAGTTTAATAACCTTTCCAACCCTAGATACGTGTAATTATTGCTTGTCTATTGACTGTTCTCTTTCCCCTTTAATGTTAACCTAATGTAGCTGAAAGGCACTGAGCTCAATATGTCTGAATCTAACCTAATTACTTCTGTCTCACCCAAAGACCAAACCTATTAACGCACTGCACTTAACTCACCATAAGACTTTTCCAGTCAATCCTTGGTGCAGATTTGAACCAATAGCATACCAGTCTCATCCTGAGACTTTCCTATTCTATTCCCATCATGAGAGTTGACAACCACTCGTATTTGCTGTACTTGTAGCTATTTATAGAGTAAGTCAATGTCAATCAGCTGCATTCAATTCCTCTCATTATGTTGCACTAATGTATTCGTATTCCTCTCTGGACCTCCCTAAACGGCCCTCTGTTGGCTTAAATTAACATTGAGGCTTTTCTGATTCAACTGCTCCATACTGTACATCTTTAGTTGTTGTTTTGTGTCCTGTAGTGATCTCTGTTTTGTAGTATTTCAAACTACAGTACAAGACACAATGTTCAAAAGAGACCTGAAATCCAACAATGCAGATGCTTAAGTCTGGAAAAGACAAGAAGACTTAAGACTTAAAAAACAAGATAAATTGAGATACAGTACTTATACAGTGGCACAAACAAATAAGAAAGTGAAAATTTCAGTTTTCTTTTTAAACATCCTTATTCAGCTTTTTAAAAGATTTGCTACAGAAAATGGATTTATCTGTATAAACTGCTTCTGGAATGAAGCTCAACAGAATACCATAAAATTACAGTAATTTCTGCACTTTTGTAAAATCCTGGTATGTACCTCAGTTTAAACAAATGTGCTTACTGTACACTTACAGTATTTAAACTTGTGAAAGTTCAAAAACTCACAGTAAATGTCTGTTACTACCATATTTTAAAGAAAACAAAGACAAATTTTGTAATACCTAAAAAAACACATTTTGTAACTATTTTGTACAGTAGCTACAAAACACGATTTTGTAGCTAACTTTAAAACGGGATACAAGCAAGAAGGGTTTTCATCTTTTTTTCATCTGCCTTGGCAGTTCTAATTAATTTCATACATGTGGATGCAGATAAAGATTTAGATTTATCAAACAAAAACATAACATTAGGAAAAATGTGTCATGTGATCTTTATAATTCCAACTCTTTGGTAAGTTGGAACTGATCTAGGGGAGAGGTGTACACCAGCTTTTACGGTCTGCTTTCAACTGCATCCTGGCTATCTGCAGCCACTTAACTGTTTCCTCCAGCTGCTCCCACGCCTGTTGCAGCCTCTCTATTTCCTCCACCAAAGCAGCCTTCTTTTCAGCTACCACCTTATCCAGACTTTATAGGTTGTGGCTCTTGTGACCTTCCTAGTGTACATATTCACAGAGACTGAAATCAGGGCAACTTTCAAACCGGTTAACATACAGAAGGTGATTGGCCTGGACGACTTTCCGGACGGGTCCTTAAGTCATGTACAGACCAGTTGGCCATGGTTTTCACAGATATTTTTAACCTTTCATTTTTACAGTCTTCCGTTCCTGGGTGTTTTAAGAAATGTATTATTATTCCAGTCCCAAAGAAAAATACTTTGGGCTTTTTTAATGATTACAGACTGGTAGCGCTCACATCCACCATAATGAAATGCTTTGAAAGGCTGGTCAGGAGAAACATTAGCACAATGGTAACTGAGTGCTTTGACCCTCTGCAGTTTGCATACCGGTGTAACAGGTCCACTGATGACACTATTTCCCACGCTCTTTACACTGCCCTGACTCATTTGGAAGACAAAGACACATACATCAGAATGCTATTTATTGATTACAGCTCTGCATTTAACACAATAGTTCCTTCCAGACTGGTCAGGAAGCTTTATGACCTGGGCACCAACACCTCTGTATGCCGGTGGAAAATGGATTTCCTGACTGGCAGACCACAGACCGTGAGGGTAGATGGAAAACTTTCTTCCATGCTGACCATAAATACAGGGGCTTCCCAGGGCTGTGTGCTTAGCCCCCTGCTGTTCTCCTTATTTACCCACGACAGCTCCAATTCTATCTTCAAATATGCTGATGACACTACCATCATTGGTCAAATCACTGCTAATGATGAGACAGCCTTCAGGGATGAGGTCAGGAACCTGGTGGAATGGTGGCTTGACAATAACCTCTCCCTGAGTGTCAGTAAAACCAAAGAGCTGGTCATTTATTTTAGAAAGCAGGGTGGGGACTACAACCCTATTCACATCAATGAGGTTGCTGTTGAGATGTTTACCAGCTTCAAGTTCCTGGGTACCTTCATCACTAACGACTTAATGTGGTCCCAGCATGTAACTGGAGCTACAAAGAAGCCACAACAACACCTTTACTTCCTCAGACAATTGCAGATGGTAGAATCTGGAAGGGAGTGAAACAGACATGGGAAGGAGAAGACTAGGAACTGGTCAAGTTGACGAACAGGGGGGCGTGACGACTGTGCACTGGTGCTCGGGGTGGGCATGGTCCAGGCGTATAAGTCCAGAGGAGTTCGAAGGGTTATTCCAGGGTGAAGTCCAAGAGTCCAGAGCCAGGTCATCCATCCAGGACAGACAAGATAAGGTTTAAAAACCGGAGCAGGGTCTGGTGCAGGGACCGGGAATAAAAGTGGTTTAACAGGGCCAGGCACACTCAGCGTCTGGATAGGAGGCAGGTGCACAAAATCAACTAAAATCCCTTAAGAGGAGGAACCTATGATCGTGACAGGACACCAATTATCCTGGTTCCTCACTTTTCTTTCCCCCTTCCCTCTGGTAAGCGTTATAGGAGCATAAAGGCATGGACTTCCAGATTCAGAGACAGCTTCTTCCCACAAGCTGTAAGATTACTGAACTCTACCCTGTTGTGTCATACAAATGATAAAGTTCAGGTGTCTGCGAAGTCTCTTTATTTCATATGCATATGGAAGTTTGGCTTGCAACCACCAGACTTAAAAATAAGTACCTGAAGGTCCTTTATACCTTAAAACAAACCAGTTACTATGAGACATTCTAAACAAATGATAAGACAGCAACACATGCCAATTAATTATATCAAAGTTGCAGACTAGACAACAGTTAGTTATTTGCACATTCTGGATGTGCAGCTAGCTTACCAAATACATGCCCTTTATCTTACTGTCCAAGGACAGGCAGCATCGTTTTGGGCGCAAAGCCAACATTAAGCCACTAGACTGCATAGTTTGCAAAAATATTAAAACAGGAAATTATATTATTATCTCACTTCCCAGGTGTCTCTCTTATCTCTTCACCCCCTACCATTGACTCACACTGATGTTTTTTTTTTGTCTAAGATGTATGTTATTTAAATTGTTGTTGGTGCTGCTGGTGTTTTTGTTTTGGGTGTTTCCTTGATGTCCATGTATAGGAGCA